CGGGCTCGATTAAAAACGAAACTATCCACTAGACGCTTAAAGTTACAGATATGAGATGTGACGGGATGGTGGGTAATTGGAGACGAGAACTAATATTGGCTGATAATCAGCTCTCAGAAGCAAGAGGTCATGCCCTTCGTGTCAACAATAGAACCTTGGCACTTTGTCGGTGACGGAATCGAGAGAGGAGCTCCCAATAACTGATACGAGACTATAAGGACACTTACCAACTAAATTTTAACCCCTATGGCGAGTTATCAAGCAAGGTTTGTTACACTGTGAAAAATCACGCTTTCTCTTCTTGATATCACACGACAAAACTTACCCGAACTCCAATAATCTGTGACTATCAACCAATGATATACCCGTGGAGAAAAGAAGGTTTATGATATGACATCCAATAATGGGGTTATTATCACTTGATAACATTTGGGGTACTATTCAAGGCTTTGGTTGCCTAACAGGTGAATCTTGTAGGGGTGATTGTTTTTGAGATGAAGAGCAACAGATCGATGCCCCTAATCATAGACGTAAACATCGGCAGAAACTGTATACCACTTGCACTGCCCTCTTTCTGCCAAGCTCCAATCCCTCTGAGTCCTGTGCCCTACTTTTGCGTCCTGTGTCAAAGCAGTGATGCCAAAAAATATTATTTGTTCTAAAAATCGAGTGGTGGCTGGTGATTACTACAACTTTACATAAGAAGATGGAAAGCCCTAGATCCGACTGGTTCATGATAGGCAGGGTACTCACCGAGGTGACGTGGTCAAAGTCAAGAATTCACAGCTCTGCCCGGGAATGTTTAAGAGTCCGCGATAGTGGCTAGTAGTAAAGAGGGAGGTTAAACATTTGTCGAAGGAAAGGTGCGCAAAAGATGCGCGGTGCGAAAACCGAAATTCGCAATAAGGTGGGTGGAATAATAGCTCACACATGCATAAGTTCTAAAGAGAGAATCCTGAAGGAAGGCAGAGTTTACACGAAAAATTACGTCGTATTAGAGGGAAGATAAAAGCAACAGCAAAGTTTTAAAAACCCAAATTTGGGAGCAATGATGAGTATAGCTTACTTGTTCTTCAACTAAGTCGACTATCTCGCTGAGACCGCTAGTTTCTGTACAACCGGCTTCGTGGACATTTTCCTTGAAGTTCCACAGTTTTTGAAATGTCTTAGTTAACTCCGCAATCATTGATGCCTTTAATAGCACATTGAAAACGTGCATAATTCCGAATACTGACAAAAGTCGTCTTTTAACTGACCTTGTACCTGTTTATTTTACACAGGGCGAGGACAAGAAGAAACCCAAATTCGCTACACATCACAGCACCAGTATCGCTCTGACAACAAAACTTCATTAAATGTACCATTTACATCGTTGGTCCCTCCCGTAACTGCAAATGAGTTGGAATCGAACTGACGCTAAACTCCTCTTCAGTATACGAGGCTCAACATTTCTGTTTAAAACTTTTGTTCTGCTATTCCACTGATATCAGTTATGCGGATTCACCTTCAGTCGTTCTCTGTCATATGTATTGGAGCCGTAAGGGGTGAAAAAAGTAAGAACAGATCACCAACAAAACATGTTGCCATGCCGTAACAACTCTGATCATTCATCTTTGACTTCCAGATGATACTGATAAGTTTATGCCCGAACCGATACAATCCAGTTAACCATGTCGTTCAAAGCATACTGAAATAATTTCTTTCTATCTGAGCTAGAATTCAAGCCAGGTCAAGAAAATTCAAGGTGTCCATTCTTCACTGCCGCCGCGTGTATCTTTTAATCTACAGTTATGCCTCCCCAGCGAGTCGAATGACACTGGCGCTAATCCTGTCTAGCAGGCGAAAGTGAGGGTGTTGCTACTGAGGCCCAGCGACTTCAGACTTCGGCCGGCCCATATCCCTCCCTTTCAGCTGAAGCATGGAGTTCCCGAATGTGACACCGTAGAAATTGGATCCAGCACCCTTTCTGCCTGTCCTGGTACCCTTTGGTTCCTTGAAAAATGGTGAGATACTGGTCGCGAATTCGTTGGGAAGCTGGTGAAGGATCCTCACCAAGCGAAAACTTTAACAACGATTCCAAGCTCGAAATCAGAATAACTGTTCTTGTATTAACTACTGATACTACTGTATACTTGTACCATGATCGTAAGATGTAACGACACATCATTGAGTCTGATGAACCGTTAGGTTACGCGACCGAATATGATCGTACGGATTGAAAACTTTAAAGAGCCTTGCTTGCTCACGTGCCCATCCTTCAACCGATATCAGTCAATGTTGAGATGACTCGCGTGAAGAGTAAATCTATCATAACCAACTGGGTTAGATTGGGCACCAGTTGACATCTCGATTTAAGCATTCTCCTTTGCAGCAGCCAGTCTTTGGAGTTACTCGAACAGGAATATTGTATACAAGCGTCAAAAATCGAGTAAGGGTCAAAAATTCGTAGGAAGGGCTCTTGGGAGTTAGGTGAGCCTTCACCGCCTAAAAAGATATTGGAAGCCTCATTTCAGTAATTATGCATGCTGCAAGAAAAGCTACTTGCAGTATGCATTGTTACGGAACCTGCAACTAATTAATAGCGAGTAAATGGGCATTTTTAGATTATTCCGCCCCAGAAGTTTCTGAATTCTGGCGCCCATAGTTTTGGGAGATCCTGCATATAGTATAAGAGTAAGTGCAAATCTGCGACAGAAGTGGCCAACACCTCACGATACGCGAAGAAAAAACAGAAACTTACCTTGAACAAAGTAAAACATGTTCTGCCAACATTTGGATAATTATGCGCCAGCTTGATTAGTTCCTCAACGCTTGTGATCATTTCGGCGGCGGGTATGGCACCCCTTCTTTTCGGCCAAGCAGCTACTATCTCACGTAGTATTTGAGTCAGCCTGAATATGGAATACACTACACCATCAATGGTGCACAACTTCTCTCTCTTTTTTGCCAGCATTACACTGCTAGTTAGCGCACAGATATGGGATCTTGTTGACAAACCAAGAGTAGCAAGAAGCCAAAAATGAGTCAAAAAGGGAAAATGCAATGAGGATCGGACGAAATTCAGCGAGAGAAGTTCTGAACAAAAAGCAGGCTTTATTCTGAAGGGATACTCCGATAAAGCTCAACACACTAATCAATCGTTTTCTGGAAAAATGACAACAAGAGTAGAAAGATCGGCAGTTCTGCACCTTTTATCGTCCACCACACGCGCCAGACTGATGCATTTCCATGTCATCATGGGCCGGTGTTCCTCAATTGCAAGATCTTCAAATGCGCGTTCATCCAGAAACTTTTCTATCAAAACGTCCATTGATAGGTTCCTGAAAACCTTATGAACCAACCATAGAGAAGAATCTCCCTTTGATTTGGTATTGAAGATATGTTATAAGATGCCCAAATGAAACCACTAAATATTTAAGGAAGGATCAAGAAATCAAACATAATTAGGAAGATAAAGGCACTGTCTGAACATTTTTTAGCTCTTTCCTTCATGTGAATTCTTCTGACACGTAATTCTAACTGACTTGTTCTATCGTTTACGCTAACAGTCAAGGGTTGACTTGGAATCAAAGATTGTTAAAACAAGTCCATGTTCTGAAAAAAAACGTGTAGTGTTACTATGCTAATAGTCCCTTTTCCTTTTCGACAGCTACGTGAGTCGCCGAGAGAGATAGAATTTAATGCAAAAGCACGAACGCAAGACCGTGTGAGAGCGTTTCAAGTGTACCAGAGTTACACCCAATTTTGAGATCGCTTGCTAACCATGATCTTAGCAGCTTTTTCTGATTAATTGTCGGCGACGATTAAAGCAGTAACGACATCTGGTTTTACTTCATACTGGATGAATTCAACATAAGAAACCTTTAATATTAAGGTAACAAGCGAACATTAACATATGAGGTGAAACAACCCTACCCTTGCCAAGGGTTAGCCTCATGCCCTTGTATTTCTGCTGAGTTGACAAGCTACTGCAGAATCAACAGTTGTGGAACTCACCGCAATACTGTCCCCACCGACCCAAACGTATCATATGTGGCAGCTTGTAACATCCAATCGTAAACGAGATCGTGTACAAATACTGTACTTGACAACATATTCCCATCCTTGGTGATCTTAATTTATCAAAATCATGGAACTGAAGCTGTACTGAAGACGACTAGCCTTAGACGTGATATTACAGCTGACATGGAAGAAGTGAATACTCACTTGCTCGTTCTTTAGAAGATGTTGGAGAAGCACAATGGAGCAATCTGTCCACCTATAAGGCAAACTATGATACAAACATGTTTCTAGGTTAATTCTTAACTTTGCATGATCGTCGTCACAAACGACTTTCTTGGGAGCTCGCTCAATGAACAGTGTTGTGAATATTTGATCTTAGCTCCATTAATCTCAGCACCCAAATCACCTATCATAACCATCTGACCACTTTCCTTTCATACCCTCTATGTACGTTCCTTCGGATTTCATTATGGTTTTGACGAAGCTCTAGAATTCTTGAAAAGCGCCCTATGCCCCACACGTACCAAACATGAATACGACTTCTCCAAATGCTTCTTCCAGTAATACCGATCTCGTGCCAGAGCAACGACAGACAAGAGACGGAGCGGAGGCTTCATTCATAACAATAACACGTGAGAAGCCTTCTCATCGCCGGCGCGTATTATGCTTTTGATGTTAATCTTTTAATTCAGAGCAGGATCTGAGCAATCTTTCGACTATTACATAATTAACTGCAATCTCTTGCGGACACGTCGCTTATGTAGTCGATCCTCTCTTCAAGCACTGAGACTATGGAATGCGCTTCCGTCTGGAGTTCCGGTTGGTAGTTAGCAGCTGCCTCCAGCTATATATAAGTATGAATCAGCTGTCTTGAGCACGAGATCAAAAATAATAGAGATCTGCACCACTACAGTTTCTGCAGCAGTAGAATCATCACTATACATAACGCGCTCGCGTCTGCCCGTCTCTCTGTCTGTAACGAAATTCAATATAGGCTGAAGAAACACTTGGAGGGGTTGGATGAAGTCTGAAATGGGTTGAGCATAGGAGTAGTGCAACTGAGCACATGTGAGCGTTGTGCCCCAAGAGGCAAGATATGCACCGGAGTTGGGCGGTGCTATGAGCAAAGCTTTCAACTCGGCCCCATAACAGTCCAGACAGCAGCAAAAGTCGAGCAAAGTGGGGAGTGGTCATCGAATGAAGTAAAGGGGGCTCGTCACCGGTGGCGGAGGTTTTCGCACTAGGCGGTACTTCCCACATGAGCTTCCCACAAGTCGATTCAACGAAGGCGTTAAGAATAGAGAAAAACAAAACAGTGAGCATGGAGTTAGGCGTGCGTCAACCTAGCGAAGCTCTGCCCGGGATGCTGGGGTGTGGGTTGAAATAGAAGCTATTTTTTGAGAATAAATATAGCTCTGTTCTCTGTTCAGATACGTTCTGAAGCGAGAGAAAAAACGGTAAGAAGAAATGTGGTCTAATGCTCTAAGTATGCGAGGCTGCACCAGGGTGGGCGGGGCTAGGATCAGAAATTCATATCTCTATCCAGAAATGTCCTCGAGCGCGGTTCAGAAGTGACAAAAGTTTATAGGAGCAATGTCGTCAGACATCGAAATGGGCACGGCTTTGCTGAGCGGGCAGGGCTAGTCCAAAGATTCACGACTCTGTACTGCGCGCTGACGCTCAAAGCAACTTTTTTCTGAGTTCATAACAACTCGTTAGAAAAAAATACCGTTGAACTCAGCTCATCGAGCTCTACAAGATGATACCCAAAAATGTTGAAAATGCTTCATTTTGGATTGCGCCATGCACTTGAGCTCCATCCGAAAAGTGACTGCATGCACAGGCACGCTTTAGTGCTTGGAGGAGCTCATTGGTCCCTGAGGATGATCTGTTCAGAACTTGCTTCGGATTGCGCCACGCACTCGATTTTACTCAGTACAATGTGGAAATGATTATTGGTTTTGTTCAGCTCCCATTGTTCCTTTTTTGGTTTCAAGGCTGTAGATAAGTGCATATACGGTCTCTGCACTCAACATTCCTCTTTACAGGTTCCATTGAGAATATGACATCAATTTATGGCAAAATAACGGAGTCGATTTTTTTGATATTTTTCCATTTTTGGAGGAATTTTTCTACAGAATCTGATTAAATGGTGTTGAGGCACTCCACTGTCGTAGACATCTCTTTAATGTCTGCAAGTCTGCAATGGCACACCCTATCACAAATCAAAATTCCTTGGTATGGCCACAAACTTCGAACTTCGTCAAGCCCAAATCATAAAACAATGTTTTTTCATTTCCCGTTGGTCCCTTTGCAGCTGCGTTGTACA